GTTGGCGTCTATACGCAATACCGGTCCTAAATCAGAGTTTTAAAAGGTTAAAGTTATGCTCTGATCATCAACGCTTAATGACCTCACCCGAAACGAGGGAGGAAATCCCGTGGACTGCGTCAACATGAATCTCGTATAAAATCCAAACGGCTGCAGTACAACGAGATTCATCCATCCTCATCTGGTCAGATCGACCAACAAATCTCTTATTCATTCACTTTCATACGAAATGAAGGTCCCCGTAACAATGTTATCTCAGGAGATTCATGGAAACCCAGTTTCTCTTCGTATCTATAATTTTATTCACTTTTTTTCATTAGCAGGAGGAATTAAAATGAGTTTGAGCAGTCAAATAATGATTAAAGTTACTAATGAAATGTGTCATTTTTGGGTACAGTTTACTTTCGTCTTGTAATCCAAATGCTATCATTTTATCCTCACACTCCACACTTTTCACGTCGTTTTTTTCGCTATCTGACAGGGTCATAGGAAATTCGGTGTACACCCATTTGGGCTAAAGATATCTCGATACAGTAAATTACTCCGGTTGATCTAATTCATACTCACTTCTCGTCTGCCCATCTTGCCTACAAGTATTTTTGCCCACATCACCCGGGACCGTGTTGCGCACAGGTGAAACCAAATTTGCTGGACCAAGACAGACTGGAAAATTGTTATTGAAGTAAAATAAACGAGTACTAATTTGCTTATCATTTTGTACTCGATTAGGTAAAGACATCGCCTTGCAGAGTTTCCGAATTCGAAGTTTTGGGATAGGGCCAGGGTATTGCCGAAATGTGAAGGGTTCATGTGCAGATATGCAAGAAAAACGACTCGTAAAAGATTTTCAATCCATTGCAGCAAGTAATATCTCGTAAATAAGCTGTCAGTCTACATGATCATGGTACCGGACAGTTTGCTGTCTGGATAGGAGGCATAACCTTTTGGGGCTGGAAGAAGGCATCTTGAAAGATATCTGTATGGCCATCTTAGAGTCATTTCACCTCTCAAATGTTTCCCGCAAAGATGACATCATTCGCGACCTACAGCAAAGCTAGGGATAGAGTCTAGCCACGAGAGCGGCTTAATTGCATGTGAATCCCCTTAACCGATGGCATTTGGCAAATCAGCATCGGAGTGTGCAGGATTGTTGGATGCACAATAAAAAATAGTTGAAGAGCAGTGCTTTAGGTGCTGCAACTTTTGCACAAAACTAGTACACCTTCACTTGTCGCCTTGGTTATGGCCCCTGCATTAAGTATAAAACCTTTTCTTCTTAGATTCCCAATCCCATCGGAGATTGTATCCGTTGGTCTGCCGGTTCATCTCATCTGGCGAGACTGGGTGACAATCGCCTCCTGTTTTTTATCCCATCACATTAGCCTTGTGGATACAAAGAATAACTGGGTTTCGACGAATCTCCTAAGATACTATTATTTCTTATGAAAGTGTATAACGAAGAGATTCAAAGGTCGATTCCACCGGAAGACGACGGCGGATTCCCCCTGACCAGCTGTCGATTGGCTTTACTGGAGTATTCATAGTGACGTAGCTTCCGAGGAAGTCTCCTTCGATTCCGGTGAAAACGTGCTAAGCTTTCATTCTTCATATGACGGACATTATCAGAGCCATATTTGTCTGTCATACAACAAATGAAAGCTTAGCACGTTTTCACCGCAATCGAAGGAGATTGCCTCGGAAACTACGTCAACCAGCATGCTCAAGTCGTCCTCTTAGAGTTGGATTTATCTTCAGATCTCTACACCAAACGTTTTCACTCGAATTTGAAGTTGTCTCAACAATGGAACAAGGGAATCCTCGAAATCCAACTTTTCATTGCTTGAAAGATTCACCATTAGCCGATCGGTTCCTTCATGATCATGTAAATAGGACTTGATTTTGTCATTCTGCTTCACCCTAATCTTTATTCTACACACTTTCGCATCTTTCTAGTATAGCTCCCATGTTACTGATAAGCTTTGTCTACAGGATTTCTCTCGAAGTGATCGTTACCGGAATATGTATTTCTCAATTTCTCTTAATATCTGTTCATCCATTGGCAGACTGTCGTGTAAATGCTAGTATTGCTTGGCAAGTTTAAGCATGTGTAGTTATTATGGTCCTCTTTTGTCTACTTTTCCTAGCTTTTCGTTTATAGCTGCGATTACGGCACTTAGGATACACATTATTATCTGTACCATGACGACTTTTCTATCGCGCTAAATTGATATTTAGTTTTGTAGTTGCGCAGCAAGTCATTGCAAATGCTATCATAACTTCTAAGATATGAAGACCAAGATGGTGTGGCTTCCGGTATGGTCACAGCCTCCTTTCGATGTAAAGAAGTGTGTTGGCTTCGTTGTGGCAACTTGGTCTTGTTGTCCAGGAGACTTAGTAGAACGCACCGAGTCCGAAGTCTCTTGTCTATGTCCCCTTTGGTGATAGTGAATGAATGAGGCCTGGCACCTCACAGATTTGTAAATCTTTCTTGTCTCATCCCGCATTTTCATCCTACTTTGCACGGTAGCCTCCTACTTAATGCGATGAAAGGAAGTGTCTGTGCCACCTTGGCATCTCTGTCGATTACTTTCAGGTGAAATCATCGTGCGACGTCTTGTGGAAGTGTGCAAGCATGAAGTCGGCTTGCTGCTGTGGCGCATGATGAAGCCGGATGAGCTTGAGACTCATTTCCTCGCGTAGCCTTCATGTTGCCTCCGTGCATTTTTAACATTTTGTCAAAGTACTGGTTTCTTGACGGACTGCTTGGCGCAAGCCTTTATTTCTCATTTTGAATTAGGTTAACAACGTGAATTCACAGACGCACTACGAAGGTGATTCGAAATCGTCCTGTCCAGCAGTTCTTCTGCACTCGGACGAGTAGTCTACTCGGAAGCACAGCATCTCTCTCCTCAGCTCATGTGTTCTCGACACCCAAGGCTTAAATCTGGGCACAGTTTGGCATCATGTGCGGCCGACGCAAAAATGAGTTACTGGAGGACAACTTATTTGTAGCTTCGCTTCGTTCACAGCACATGTTGCGGCCACGTTTTTAATGTCCCGATAAGAAATCTACAAAATCTGTCATTCCACCGTTGGGAAAAGATTCTTACTTATTTCTTTGGGATCAGCTAGTGTTTGGGTAATGCACCTTAAGTTGATTCATTGCCACTATTGCGCTTG